ATCATCCCAAGAAAGCCATATGATTGCCTGAGTTAAAATGACTAGAAAATAAACAACACAACATCTTTTCCCATCATTCTGATCTATATAAATAAAAATGTAATGTTAGTTTGTGGGATTAACATAACTCAAAAACCACTGGACGAATTGACACCAAATTTGGACACAATACACCTAACAACCCAATGAATGTTCTTCACGCAAAAAATTGTTTTTGTCATTTGGGAGTTGTAGTTGCTGGGATTTATAGTTAACCTACAATCAAAGAGCATTCTGAGCCCCATCAACGATGGAATTGAACCAAACGTGGCACACAGTTCTTCCATGACCAACAGAAAATACTGGAAGGGTTTGGTGGGAGGTGTCCTTTGATTTTGGAGTTGTAGTTCACCTACATCCAGAGATCACTGTGGACTCAAACAATGATGGATCTGGACCAAACTCTACACGAATACGCAATATGCCCAAATGTGTACACTGGTGGAGTTTCGGGAAAATAGAATCTTGACATTTGGGAGTTGTTGTTGCTGGGATTTATAGTTCACCTACAATCAAAGAGCATTCATGCCAAGTTTGGTCCAGATCCATCACTGTTTGAGTCCACAGTGCTCTCTGGATGTAGGTGAATTACAACTCCAAAACTCAATGTCAATTCCCACAAATTGTCCCTGCTCATCGCTGGATATGGATTCTGATAGGTTTTAGCTAAGTTAATGCAAACTGGTTTCTCACTTCTTCTTCAAAGGCAACCTAAGATATGCACAGAGATCTCTCAAGCCTTTTAGCTCTAAATAAGATTGATCATTTTTTCATTTATAGCAGTGTTGGTGATATGATTGTAGGGTGAGAGCTATTTTTCCAAGGCCATTTTCAGATTGCTCTGTTCACATATTGCAGCAGTTTTCAGAATTTCCCAGTTGTATTCCATCACACTCTTTGCTGCTCCATCCCTCATGATGTGACTGCAGACTTCATGGAAACACATCCATCTCCCCTCCGCCCAAAGGAAGTATTCAAATGCATTCCAGGTGTTAGTCTTCATTACCCTTTATCATCAGAATAAAGGGCATGTGAGACAATGGATGTGACACATCCAACAAGGGCATGAAAACCATCCCTGGTTTATATGTATAATTTCACAATTATATATATATATATATGTGTGTGTGTGTGTGTGTGTGTGTGTATGTATATATATTTATGATAATCAGTTCCTTGTGTGAGTAAAGGACTAGTCCAAACTTTAATTGGAAAACTAGCAAACATTATACTAGGGATAGCATTCACAATAAAGGCCTATTTCCAAGAGCTTCTAGGGCAGATACACATTCCATCTTTTTCATCCAGCCTGCTGAAAAAACCCTGTGAGAATCACATGTGTGTTAGAAAGTTCTTTCATATTCAACCTTAGACTCACAATAAATTGAAAATGACTTGAAGGCACACAACTACTTTACCGCACACAACTTAACTAGGAACTATCGAGGACTGTGGTTCCCTCAAATCTACAAAATCTGCATTCTGGATTCACTTGCTTTGCTATCAAAAAAAGACCAAAAAATGGAATGTAACACATTCTTTGTAAACGTTTTAAAAACGTAGCTGACATAAATCAGCAGTTATAACTTTTCCATATAAAAGTCAAGCTAATCGTCAGCCTACAGTTCCCCATGACATCTATATAAATAAAAATGTAATGTTCGTTTGTGGGATTAACATAACTCAAAAACCGCTCGACAACCTGACACGAAATTTGGACACCTATCAGGCCACCGAGTGACCATCACTCATAAAAACACTGAAGAACACAGAGGAAGGGACTTAAAAAGAAAAAAAAAGAAAAAATACATTACAACGCATGTGCAAAACCACATATATATACACAAACACACATATATACACATATACACACACACAAAACACATACAAAGAAAGGGAGAAGGAGGGAGAAGGAAAGAAAGAAAGAAGGGTAGGGAAGGAAGGAAAGGAGGGAGAGAGAGAAAGATGGAAAGAAGGAGGGAAGGGAAGGACAGAAAGAAAGAAAGAAAGAAAGGAAGGAAGGAAGGAAGGAAGGAAGGAAGGAAGGAAGGAAGGAAGGAAGGAAGGAAGGGGAGAAGGAAATAAAAAAGTGGAAGAGGGAAGGAAGGAAAAAGGAACTAAAGAGAGAAATATGGAGGGAAGGAAAGAGTAAGGGAAGCAAGAAAAGAAACAGGTAGAGAAGGAAGAAAGAAGGAAAAGAAAAAGAGGGAAGGGAGGGAAGGAAGTAGAGAAAGAAAGGAGAGAAAGAGGGAGGGAAGGTTGGCCACAGCAACGCATGGCGGGTACAGCTAGTTCAGAATAAAAACTGAAACATACTTCTTTTATCATAGTAAGCAGGTGGATAGGATTTGCTTCGAGAGGAATTCTAATTAAATGAGCTTAATTAAAACCAAGATGAGGTTTTGTTTTTACTCTTTCCTGTGCAATCTGAACAGCTTTGGGCAGAAAGCAATTGAGAGCAGATTGTTTTTTTAAAAAAAATATTTGAGAGTCCTTCGTGACAACATATGCTCACTCTTTTCATGCCGTAGCTTGTTGCTTGGCTGCCTCGCCTGTGACATATGCAGAACAAACAGCAACCAGTGGAATCATTTGAATCAAGTAGACTTGGCTGTGCCTACTTAGCAACCAGCTCTAGCTGCAATGTCCTTTAGCTGAGACAGATCATAAAAAGACTAGCACTGAGAGTCTGACGTATGATCTGAAGCTCACAAGCTATTTTGCTGCCCTAAATCAGAATTCCTTGCCCCATCGTTTTCTTCTGCTACAGGCTTTGATCTCTGTTCCATATGACTGAATGACACAAGCAAGATCTCCCCTTCCATATTAAGACAACCTATTTTGTGGGAAAGAACCAATCTCTTTTCAAGTTAAAATCAATTAAAAATCTGTTAAAGGATCTCTAATCTTAAAATAGCATATCGTCATCTACCTTAAATCAACAGATCCTCTTTAGCTTTTCCTAAGTATGTTCCTTTTATGCATTTTTAAAAGGAGAGGAAAATATTTGTTACATGCCCTGAGGTTTTATCGACATATAATAAAATCCATAGTTTTGGCCCCCAAACCCCTTGACTTACACAAGTACAGGCAGTCCCCAAGTTAGAAACAAAGTAAGTTGTTCTTAAGTTTAATTTATATGGAAGTTGGAACAGGTACATTTTTTTCAGTATAACTCCAGCCAAATATAGTTTTGGACAGCATAGGGAAGGGTTAACATTTCTGTGTTGTTTGTTTTGCTGTTTGTGCCCCTGTTCAAAAGATTTCACCTCACTTTCAGTCCCTGTGATAATTAATGTTGAAGAATTTGGCTTGTTGTGGAACCAAGGATTAGTGATAAAGCTTCAGTGGTGAAACCTTTCCCCCATAACAACCCTTTCAAGAGTGAATTTCCCTTCCAAGGGGTAGATTTCTCTCACTTCCTGTTGCCTCACTTGTTTGTAATGATGAACCATTTGGAAGTCGGGTGTTTGTAACTCGGGGACTGCCTGTATATACAATATCTATCCTTTATGCAGGCTAAAAACTCTCATTTGCAACAGTCAGGCTTGATGAAATTGCAGAAGTGTAGTTTGGAACAATTTTGCTAATACCTACTGTTCTTTCGTGAACTTTATATACAGGGAACTCCTCTATACCATTCGCCTCAATGGACCTAACATTTTGGATTTCTTCTTTTTGATAGCTAATATTTACTTGTTCTTCCTATGAAATATTTTTGTAAGTAATGTTTGTGTCCTGTATTTTTCTATTATGCTATTTTGCTTTGTTTACTTTATTTTGCCACTGTATGTACTTTATTGTGATGTACGTTTTGTTGCTGTATTTTGCACTTTATTTTGCTGTATCGTATCTTTGGGCTTGGCCTCATATTAGCTGCTCTGAGTCCCCTTCGGGGAGCTGGTGGCGGGGTATAAATAAAGCTTATTAGTATTATTGTTGTTGTTATTTTGTTTTTATAAAGACCAGCAACATGTTTAGCAAGTAATAGTGTTGAGTATTTTTAAGTATGAAAGCCCTGTGTTTGAGATTACAGTATGTAGCACTGCTTACAATATTCAAAAGCCAAGTTCTGAATACATGCATTATTTTTGCCTTTCACTAAACAGATTTACTGGCAAATAAAAGGAATTGCCATGTGATTATCAATTCATCTCTGGTGCACAATTTCTATATAAAAAGTTTGGAAAAAGATGTCAGCCACCTTTAAGATTTACTGATTGCAATCTGGCATAGAATTTCATTTTGGGGATGTAATAGCTGTTAGATTAGATTTACCACCTTCTTAAGGTCTGATAGCTCACTGGTGAATCCTCTCCTATGGACACTTAGATTAAAACCAAACTGTGCACATGAAATGATCTCAGAAATAAATTGTATGAAGAACAAATAGAGAAGGTATCTATGCATTAGAATTGCAGCCTTAGTTTTAATTATCATCTTGCTTTTTATCATCTTGAGCAGGGGTCCTCAAACTTTTTAAACAGAGGACCAGGTCACAGTCCCTCAAATTGTTGGAAGGCCGGATTATAATTTTTTTTAAAAAAACATGAATGAATTCCTATGCATACTGCACATATCTTATTTGTAGTGCAAATAACACAAAAACAATACAATAATTAAAATGAGGAACAATTTTAACAAATATAAACTTAATAGTATTTCAATGGGAAGTGTGGGCCTGCTTTTGGCTGATGAGATAGGATTGTTGTTGTGTGCTTTCAAGTCATTTCAGAGCAAGGGCCGGATAAACGACCTTGGAGGGCCGCATCCGGCCCTCGGGCCTTAGTTTGAGGACCCCTGATCTTGAGTAACGTCTCTTGGTAATCTCCTGAACTTAAAAGAGCATTTAACTCCAGCATAGATTCTGAGAAATGTAGTCGAAAAAGTATTTTTTTCAAACTGTTTTATCATTTATCATATTTCAACACCGAAGGTTCATAAAGAAAAGACTGGATAGGTTTTGGAATAGCAAGAAAATATTTATTCTTGTGATTAACAAGAAGGTACAACAATTTGAGAAACAACTGGGGAGGCACAAGTCAAATAAAGCCCTATGAAACATTGGAACAAGTTACAGTTATAAAGGGTTCCCAGTATCTGACATACTTAAAGTGTTGAAATAATTTGAGCTTTGTCTTTAGGACAAGCAAGGCTGAAGCAGCTAGAAGGGGGTGGGGAGAACAGGCCCAGCAATACAATTTAAACTCAAGACCAAAAACAGCTGTGAGGGGAAATCCTTTTTTTTAAACATAAGCACTGAAGCACTACAGGCTTGAACTGCTTTCTGTGATAAGTTACAGTGCCACTTTAAACTTCTGACCTTCAGGCAGACTTAGACAGGGCCACAGCAGAAAAGCGGACCTCTCCTTGCTCACGTTCCGTGAACTGCCGGCAGACCTTGGCAGAAGCCTTAAGAAAAAACATTGTGACATCTTAGTGTTCTTAATACAAGACTGTATAATTAAGACTTGAAAAGCACTAGAAGCCTAGAAGATGCACACTAATTTCAGTACCAAAAACAAACATAGATATATAGATATATAGAGAGAGAGAAAGCACCCATAATTCTAAGATGTTTATATAGCAAAAAAGGTTGGTCTTTGAACTGATGAAATACACTAGATAAATGAAGCCCAAGGCACCCACATCTGCCAATGGAGAAAACCCACAATTTACTAAGCATCTGTTCTCCACATTGTAGTTAATAACTGCAATTTAGTTGCACAAAGAATGCTTTGGTGTACATTTCTAGTGGTCAAACCTGTTCAGCTGTTGGTTCAATAAATGCTACAGGACCCCATTAGCTAATCCTACTCCCAACTTGCACTTACTTTATTTACTGAGAAACTTTAGGGAATAAAATATAGAGCTGGCCTATCAGAAAATACAAAATGTGACCCCTTAATGGAAATATATTATCAGATAAATGATTATGGAACATTAATAGATAGAAAGTGTTGCACTGTATGCAACAAACACTTGTAAATGTATGTCTACTTAAATAAAAAAATTAAAAAAGAAAATACAAAATAAAATAACCTGAGGGATCTAATTGCATCTGCAAGTGTTAAAATACTAATCGCATTATTTAATTAAAAAATACCTTCAGCAAGGTATCCTCTGAACTAGCGCCATGGTTTATAGGGAAGGGCATTCGGCCATCTGTAAAAGAAGATGAAAGGCATGTTTAGGATGTGAACAATCTGCCCTGAGAATAGTCAAACACGGCTTGGAAAACCATAGCTATTGCCCATGCAAGCTGGTGGGTTCTGGAAATCATAGTCCAAGAAAGGAAACATTTCTGTACAGCTTTTTAAAATTTATTGTAGGTTTTCCTTCACAGAATATTGTAATACAAAAGGTATAAAATACAACTTTAGGCTATTCCTCTTTCTTTTTTTAAAAAAAAAATCAGATTGCACAATGTGAAAATCATGGCCTTGTTTCTAACTGCTTGGGTTCCCATTTGCAAACTAAGCACACTTACCAATAGTTTCCATAATTTTTCAGATGAGGAAGCAGGTATACAGCTGCTATATAATTTTGTATATTACATGTTTTTCCCTTCTTTCTCATAGCTTGAAAGCAGCTGACAAACAGAAAAAAACTCAAACTTTGGCTAGACCAGGGGTCCTCAAATGAAGGCCCGAATGCGGCCCTCCAAGGCCATTTACCTGCCCCTTGCTCAGGGTCAACCTAAGTCTGAAACGACTTGAAAACACACAACAACCTTATCTCATCAGCCAAAAGCAGGCCCACACTTCCTATTGAAATACTATTAAGTTTATATTTGTTAAAATTGTTCTTCATTTTAATTATTGTATTGTTTTTAAGTGTTTTTGCACTACAAATAAGATATGTACAGTGTGCATAGGAATTCATTCATGTTTTRTTCAAATTATAATCCAGTCCTCCAACAGTTTGAGGGACTGTGACCTGGCCCTCTGTTTAAAAAGTTCAAGGAATCCTGGGCTAGACAATAGTAAGCACAGTCTTACTATTTTCATTACAGTGGGCCCTTGGTATCTGCTGTYGTTTGGTTCCAGAACCACCTTTGTATACCAAAATTCATGGATGCTCAAGTCCCATTGTATATAACACTGTGGTTAAATGGTATCCCTTTTATAAAACAGCAAATAACGCAAACTAATGCCCTGGGAGACTGCAGCAGGYCATGCCTACACATTAGTACAGTAATCGGCATGCAGCAAACCCAATATTGCAATATTTATTTGATACCAGGCTGTACTGCAGCCTGGTATCAAATAAACAAGGTATTGTTTTAAAACAGGGGTCRTCAAACTAAGGCCCGGGGGTCCAGATACGACCCTCCAAGGTCATTTASCCGGCCCTCGCTCAGGGTCAACCTAAATCTGAAATGACTTGAAAGCACAACAACAATCTTATCTCATCAGCAAAATGCAGGCCCACACTTCCCATTGAAAGACTAACAAATTTATATTTCTTAAAATTGTTCATTTTAATTATTGTATTATTTTAAGTGGGTTTTTTGCACTACAAATAAGATATGTGCAGTATTCATAGGAATTCATTCATGTATTTTTCAAATTATAATCCGGCTCTCCAACAGTTTGAGGGACTGTGACCTGGCCCTCTGTTTAAAAAGTCGGAGGATCCCTGTTTTAAAAGAACAGAAGCAGCAACTGGACATGACAGCTCACTAACTCTGCTCCCACTCCACCTATACTTCCAATAACAACAAAGAGAACCTAAATTTGAACCATTGTTCTATAAATACAAGCCATACAAGTGATGCTGCCATAGCTCACTGATGCTCAAAGAATAATGTTCTTGTCTGCTTGTGCAGGATACCAGATATTTTCCTTTCTTTCACAGAAAAGAACACTGTGGTACAATTGAAGAATCCCCCACTGCACTCTTGGTACATAGTTTACTTTAAACCAGTGTGAAAGTAAAATAAGATTCTAAAAATAAGGTATTATCAAAGGACAATGTCCCATCATATATACAATCCTTACATTAATACTTGCACTTCCTTGCAATGTCTGTTCCATAGGGAACACTTCATTTCAAAACCATATGCTTTTGGAGTGCAATTCACTGAACAATTTAAAAGTGCAGTGTTGCACTAAGAGTAGTTTCTCTACTTTGAAAAGCAAGTATAAACCCAGAGATAGTAGGCTTCCATTTTATTTGGAAACCTATTCTTATGTCTGGGATTTACTCTATACAAAGAAACCAGCTCATTGTGCTGGAAAGAAACTTCATATTTTTAAACATATACATACCTAACTCATATAGTTGCCCATCCACACTGGCAAACAGAATGAAGTGAAAGTTCACTTTATCATCTTCAGCCTACGGGTAGATAAAAGTACAAATTTAGAATCCTTGATAGGCAAACATGAAGATGGCATATTCATGTCTACACTCTCTTTTAAAAAGAACATATTAATTAAGATTTCCAACAATTCATGTTCCATTGCTAGATTGCTTAAAGCAAGTCTCCCTTTTGTCATAATATATGCAAAATCCAGAGAAGAGCATAATAATAATAATAATAATAGTAATACTTCTTTTATACCCGGCTTCCATCTCCCCAAGGGGACTCAGGGCGGCTTACATGAGGCCACGCCCATCAATACAGTAAGCACAATATAACACAAAAACACAACAGAAAATAATTGCTGGGTTGCAATTGGCAAATGCCCTAGCCGCATGCGTCCAATTAGTGAAGGCAGGTGCAGTTCAGTAGCATCCTCCTCCTAATGTGCTGCTCAGCTCAAGGTGAAAAAAGGAAATACAAAAATTCCAAGCTGCACAAGGTTAAACATAGATGTCAGGAAGCTCTGGCTCAAGCACCACTCCTTCCCATTCTCACAATGCCTCAACAAAACCATCAGTTTTATTTGAATAACAAATTGCACTGCTTCAAAGGAAAGCTGTTCTAGGATACTAAGTATAGATGATCTCCATCACAAATGTAAAACCACTATTATTTTCTCAAATCTTAACAAAAGCAGGAATTGTTGTTTCCAACATGCTTTCATGCACTAAGCATGATTGGGAAACCTGAGGTTCTAGGTGCTTTGGACTTCAGGTCCCACCATCCTTGAAAGATGGCCATCTCAGAGGTGAGGCTGGAGGAAGTCCAACAATATCTGAGGAAGAATAAATTTCATTCTGCTCCCAACTTCACCCCAATTCCTAACTGGATGCCGAGAACAAAGAAACTCAAGAGTATGACTCATTTCTTTTAGTACTCCTTCTTGGCAATGACGTTATGCCTACATATTTAATATGCACTTACCCGACACTGGCCTTCTTCTGCTACTGCATTGTGGGCATCTTGAATTGCCTGAAGAAATGTTAAATAGACAAGGTGTTTTTAAAAAGAAAAACGCTTTGGCACATGCTATGAGGATCCCTTCAGCAACTGTGTAAACATTTACCTTATTGTTTTCAAGACGTTTTGCCCTCTCATCTGGAGAGAGGTCAGCGGTGGCATTAAGGAACTCTTTCAGTGCAGAACCCTCATCTGCAAGAAATGAAATTGATGGGCTAACAAGATAGCCAAGGAAACATACCTACAATGTGTGCAAGTCTCTAGGAAGGGACATTCTTAAATCCTGTATCAAGCCACTCTGGAAACTAGGTTTTCCTCATTGGTGTTTGGCTGAGAAATCACTTGTGAAACTATTGTTGACTTTGCTATGGTGGTGATCTCCTATCCCTCAGACTTACAAGGCACGAGGAAAGAGGTGCCTAACATCTACAAAATGCTTCCCAGGTTATTGAACAGCAACAGTCTGCCTCCACACACTTAAATGTAAGGCTATTTTATTTATTTATTTGCTGCCCTTCTCACCCCGAAGAGGACTCAGAGCGGCTTACAATATATATTTTCATACAATATATTATATTATTAGCACAGCACAACATCAGTACTATACGCCACTATATTGCACCATACAATTATATTGTAATATTATTAATAATATTACATGTAATATAAATAATTATAATTATAATATTGTATTATTATTACTAGTATTATATTGTATTACATTATAATATTATATGTATATACAATATACTATATTATATTATTAGTAAAGACAAGATGGAAATGTCTTCTGCTCCCCTCTGTCTTCGCTCTGGCCAGAGCATCCATTGGTGCCACAGGGGGGAGGGGCATCCCAATCCGAAGACAGATCACACTATTTAAGAGGATATTTACACAGTCCTGAACCCTTTTCTGGAAATAAGCCTTATTTCACCCTACTTGATGAGCTTGACAGAGGGCATTTTATGTGATGAATTTGACAGAAAACTTGGGGGGGAGGGGTAATTCTTTGAGGCATAAAACAGTACCTGATGCATACCATCCGGCAATCCATATCAAAGTTGCGTAGCCATTTCTGTTATTCTTCACAAGAATTATACCTGGACTCACTGTCTAATAATATTTTTCAAAGAGTAATTGTGCATATCCTGTAAGAAGTATAACTGTAGGAAAACTCTTCCACTGTACTTACCAAACAGTATTTTATCTTGGTTGTTAGCAATCGCATGAATAAGGCCAATAGTTCCACATGAATTACTGGCAGTCTGCTTCAGAAAATAGACTTTTGGGCTTACTTCTTGACCCTTTAGTTCTTCGACCTGCTGTTTTCTGAAGTTTTCATGCTGCAAATGGACACATTTATTAATTAGAAGAAATTCCCCAGTGTTTCATAACAAGCTGAACTAGCACCCTGGATTAGGCAGAGAACTCCATTTTTGTATAGGAGAATATTTACCTATGAAGGATCAACACACCATATCCTCACAGAAAAACTATCCAATAAATATGAAACAACCTGAAAAATTAAAGGCTGCAAAATCCAAATTTTGGTCATCCTGTAAACCACTCTTCCACAATATTATACCATTATCTTCGCACACAACTCTGGAGTTTTGACTAGGCAGTTAAGGGTGAAAAGTGCACAGGATCTGACCTCATCTGAAGACCTAGCACAAGGTAAATAGCTTAATTTAATTTCCAATGGGTAATCTGTACTGGCTACTAGCCAGCATCTATGTGCCCTGATGTTACTGTGAGTACCATAAGATGCTATCACAGATTAAGGTCACTTGAGAATCTCTCGTTTTTTTCAGGATCTCTTTTTCCTAACCTCCTAAGTCACTCTCATGCCCCAAGAGTCTGAGCAAGGTAACTTTTGCAGATCTAATTTTCTATTAGTTTAAACCACTCAATTTCCTTTCAAGCCTGACTATATCCATTTCTTCCGGTTATTGCAGAGGTTATGCAAAAAAACAAAACAAAAACCCTCCTCTCCAAACCATTAAGGAGAGCAACAGCAACATATATCTCGTGACCAAGATCTGTACAGCCTTCCAAGTGATATGCATAGAGCAATAATGTTCCATCAAGCCTCTGAAAAAGCTTCTTGCTGATCAATTTATGAGAACCTTATCTAAAAGGCACAATCTCGAAGCAGAGAAGGAAGACTGCCAAGATATGATCATTTACAAGTTAACTCTTTAAACGTTGCTCCAATATAGAAGTCTACAGCTCCAACATCTACAGGCAGACTGCTGCACACTTGACTTTTAATACACACTAACATGTACATCCCAGAGGTTTACTCTAGTCAATTTGTGCTACTCTTGTCACCACTGGCATTTTTGATTGAGGGAGGTTGATCATTTCAGAACCAGCCGTTACACAGTGATGTCATTTGAAACAAGAGGTTTTTCTCTGGGCCCTTCTACACGGTCATATAAAATCCAGGTTATCTGCTTTGAACTGGATTATATGGCAGTGCAGCCTCAGATAATCCAGTTCAAAGCAGATAATGTGGATTATCTGCTTTGATAATGAAGCATTCCCAGAATAATGGGTGAGACTGGTTACAGACCAAAGTGAGTGACCACATATGCAGACCGAGTTGAACATGATTTTACCTTGGCGATTAGGTATATATGTATTTTATCTATAGGTATCTTAATCTTATATTGTTGTATGATGTTTTAACTTGTATTAGTAGCATTGAATCCTTGCTGTAAGCCGGTCTGAGTCCCTCTATGGAGGTGAGAAGATCGGGATATAAAAGCTTTAAATAATAATAATAATAACTTAGATTATAGGGCAGTGTAGAAGGGGCCTCAGAGGCTGCTTTAGAAAAAGCGCTTTTACTTACTTCCAAACTTCCAATATAACAAATCAGCAGACATATGGCATTCCCCTCTAACAGATGCATGCCACGTATACACAAGAGATTTAGCCTTGAGTGGCAATTAGCCAAAGGAAGAGAGAAACCAGTCAGCTGTTCTGCAGCAAGGTGATTTAACAGAATTTGCACAATAAATCTTTGTTCCTAATTCTACCACTTTCCCTTCATGAGAAAAACATGGTTTAGGGTTCTTGAAGTTCAAGTAACATTCAAACAGAGCATGGGATTCAAGTACATACACCTTCAGAGGGGATTTTTTTTCCTTCCAAGCTCAATGAATTCCCAAGTTACAGATATCACCATTTTGCATGGTTGTTCAACCTTAAAGCTCACCTGAGCAGTAAGAGGAAAAAGCAGTAGCAGTGCACAAGCTGGATGGGGTACTGCATTTAAGGAATCCTCCTCAAACCCTAGCACATCCACAAACCGCCAGCCAGGAGCAATTCCTAGGCGGGACAGCACCTGCATGGTAAGGAAACAATATTCAACAGCATGTCAATAAGCACAACATCCTTGGGATGCAAATATAGCATATTTGTTAGATTTAATACTTGCCATTCCTCAAATGGGCTCAAGGTGGTGTATGTGGGTCTCCTAGTTTTATCTTCACAATAACCATGAGGCGAGGAAGTGACTGGCCAAAAGCTCTGTGGCTACTCCCAGACTCTGGACCTCCTTCCCTAGAAACCAGGATGGACCCATCCCTGCCTGCCATTTTGAGGCAGCTGAAAATGTTCCTCGGCCATTGGGCATTTATGACCTGATGAGAAGTGGGCTGTTGGGGACAGTGTAATTGGGAATTTGGGCTAGGTATGGAGTTGTAAAGCAGTTTAATATTTACACTGATAAAAATGGTTTCTAATATTTGTATTTTGGTTATTTGCACTTATTTTGCAATGTTTATACACATCATTAGCTGCCTAGAGTCGCTCTATTAAGAGAAAGTCAGGACAATAAAAATAAAGCAAATAGTTCTGCATCTACTCAAATATTTTTACAAGAGCTTTATGCTACTTGTTTTTGAAATACTTAATCACCCCATGGCTACTACTACAAAGGGATCAGTAGGGGGATCAGTAGGGAAATCCAGACACTTTAAAACTGTATGTATGGTTCAGCCAAGTGATGAGGAAAATATCAGAAAGGTAACTCTTTCCTGATTCCCCCCCCCCCTTCAATTTACAGGCAGTCCCCAAGTTACGAACAGATACCCTTCAAGTGGCAAACCCTTTCCCCCACAATAACTTTTCACTTCCTGTTGTCTCATCCCTGTTCTTAACTTTGAGTAATTTGTAACTAGAGGACTGCCTGCATTTTCATCACTACTATGAGGAACTTTGCAGAATACCTCACCTATTTACAAAATACCTAGGGGAAGAAAAAGAGGTTTTGGTACCTCCATATTTTTCAGAGATCCAGCCAGGCAATTGTAGCATGGAATGCTAATTCTCTGTCATCCCACATGCCGAACGGCTACAGAGCTACAACCTACAACAACGTCAGGAGAAAAATTGCCTCCAGAACATGGCCATATAGCCCGGAAAAACCTACAACAACCCGGCTACAGAGCTTTTTGATGGTTGGTCTCAACAGTTGGGAAAATATGAGCCTTTGTCATCCCAAAATGCAGTAACCTCTCAGTTAACTGTAACTCTCAAGCAACCAGGAGGGGGAAATATAGAATATAGAATAGAGGGGTAGCATTACTTCCCTGGACCTAGACAGTGTTCCTATTGATGCAGGCCAAAATCCCATTGGCTTTTTTTGCCATCACATCACATTGTTGGCTCATGTTTAACTTGTTGTCCATGAGGACTCCAAGATCTTATCCACACGTACTGCTCTCGAGCCAGACATTGTCCCCCATTCTGTATCTTTGCATTTCATTTTTCCTGCCAAAGTGGAGTATCTTGCATTTGTCACTGTTGAACTTCATTTTGTTAGTTTTGGCCCATCTCTCTAATCTGTAAAGATCGTTTTGAATCCTGCTCCTGTCCTCTGGAGTTCTCCTATGCTCCTATTGATGCAGGCCAAAATCCCATTGGAAGGAAAGAGAGAAGGGGAAAAAAGGGAAGAAAAGAGGGAGGGAAGGAAGGAGAGAAAGAAAAGGGGGGGGGGAGTTGGCCACAGCAACACGTGGTGGGTACAGGTAGTCTGCAAATAATCCGTTTCTGCAACGCTTTGCAGACTGATTCTGACGGGATGGGTTAAGCACCCTGTTATGGGACCCACTCAAAATCATTCCCAGTCTCAGAAAGAGAGTATTTCCTAATGTGATAGTCCTCCCTGTGAAGTCTCGGCCTAGTTTATTTTCCTGTTTATTTCCCTGGAGTTGGACTGTTCCATTCTGCTAAGTTTTAGAGTAGGAGCTTAGGATCCTCCTAGAGGCTGAGCTCTGTTTGGTTCAGCTCATTCTGGCTCAGAGCTTCGCAGAAAGACTTTTTGCTCCATTCTTCTTTTGGACATAGTTTAGTAGTTAGCCAGAAAGTGTCTGGTCTGGCTTAGCAGTCTGAACAGGCCATCCTTAGCACATATTTGCCTTATAGAACATAATACATGCCTCAGAGCAGGGGTCCTCAAACTAAGGCCCAGGGGCCGGATGTAGCCCTTCAGGATCATTTACCCGGCACTCGCTCAGGGTTAACCTAAAGCTGTAATAACTTGAAAGCACACAACAACAATCCTATCTCATCAGCCAAAACCAGGCCCACACTTCCCATTGAAATACTAATAAATGTATATTTGTTTAAATTGTTCTTCATTTTAATTATTGTATTGTTTTTAAATGTTTTTGCACTACAAATAAGATATGTGCAGTGTGCATAGGAATTCGTTCATGTTTTTTTTCTTCCAAATTATAATCTGGCCCTCCAACCATTTGAGGGACTATGACCTGGCCCTGTTTAAAAAGTTTGAAGACCCCTGCCTTAGAGTCTATAGACTATAGTATATATGCCATAGAATAGCTATATTTGCCATATAGATTAGTATATGCCTTATAGATTACATAGTACATATACATGCCCCAGAGTTCATAGATAGTACATGCCACATAGAACTTAGAGTTTATATTATAGAATATATTTGCCTTAGAGTCTATAGATTATAGTATCTATACACATAATAAAAGTGAAAATCTGTATGTGGCACAGGTGTCTGTTCACACAGGCAACCTCCAGCCTCCACAAATAAGCTATTGTTTCCAGTGCTGAGAAGACAGCAAGTCACTCTCTTGAAGTACATTGCAGGTTATAGCAAGCACATCCCAGTGTTCCTTTCTCTCTTCGTTTGCATGACCCCACCCACTGCTTCTCCCTTATCCCATTCCAACCCTTTCCTTTGGCACACAGCAGAGGAATTGATCAGCAACTGAACATACTGGAGAGGTTTGGAGAGTATTCACAATGATTTATAGGAGTTGTAGGGACTGGGATGCATAGTTCACCTGCAATCTAAGAGCACTCTGAACTGCACCAATGATGGCACACAGACCCACCATGGGCAATTGTACATACTTGCCGAGTTTAGGGGTGATTACCCTGAGAGTTGTAGTTCACCCTTATCTAGAGAACAGTGAACTCAGCCAACAATGGATCGGGACCAACTTGGCACACAAAACCAACATGGCCAATTGTGCATACTGGCTGAGCTTGTGGGTGATTGCCCTGGGAATCTGGGAGTTGTAGTTCACCCTTACCTAGATATCACTGAATTCAGCTGCTGTCGGATCTGGACCACACTTGGCACACATATCCAACATGGCCAACTTTAAGTAATGGCAGGGTTTGGGAATGACTGACCCACAATTCTGGAAATTGTAGTTCACCCACATCCTTATGCATTTTCTAATGGGAGCATTAATTAAAAAACAAAAAGACTTTTTTCCCCTAATAAATAGCATTACACATTACCAAACTTCACAAAACAAACAGTGCCTTCTAAATTAACCCGGGCACCGCCGGGTCTCCAAGCTAGTATGTTATAAAGAACAGTTGTATTTACCTCATAGAATATAGTTGTTGTTACCTCAGCGTTATACCTTATACCTGTTCCTTATTTTTCTAATTCTATACCATCATAATCAAACTGAACCTTTGTATACCTCGTTTTGATTCATCTTGATTGTTTAGTAAACTTAATTGGTGAATTTTAGTCTTGTCTCTAGAGTTTTATTTGGGGTATATTAAAGTACATATAGGGCATGCCAATGGTCACTGGGAAAATAGCCAGGCACATATAGTTTTCCCTTAATCTTCCCGGTTGTGCCATCATACTCCCTCTTTCTTCCCCCATGTGGGCCGACAGAGGGCAAAACCCAAACATTGAGGCGTCTAAGAGAGGTGGGCCTTTCCCTCCATCCCCTCTCCCATGTATAGACTCAAAGAGGTTGTGACACAGCACAAAAAGCGGGCCCACAGCGCCACCTGCCGGCCGCCTTGCACAGCCGCACAGCCTGGGCGCCCCTTCAGCGCTGCTGCCCTCGACGTCTCTCTCTATTGCCAAGCCCCCCCCCCTTCCCTTTTCCCCCAGTCTCCCAAAGGATGAATGAATGGAGAGGAGGAAACGCCCATCCGCCGCGATGCCCTTCCAGCCTGGACAGGCGCTACTCACTTTGTTCAGCATCTAGGAGAGAGAGAAGCAGAGGGAGAGGGAGAAGAGAGAGTCAGTGCGACTGGGCCTCCACCCCCCCCCCCCCCCCCCCCCCCCCCCCCCCGCCTCCCCAGGAGGAACTCATGCCGCCCTTGGCCCTCCCTGAACAAGGCCCGCGCCTTCCAAAGTAGTACTTCAGCCACCAACATCCGGGGCCTGGCTCTCCCCAAGTCCCTATTCACCACACCCTCGTTCCAGGGCTCCCTTTTTCCCGCCTCTCATTGAGTTAAACGAAGCCCGCCCCCTCCCTAAATATACCAACCCCACTCTCTCTCTTTCTTTACCTCAGGATTGATCTCCATCGGTTGCCACGCCATTGTCTCTCTTGTTCAGACCACGCCTTTCTTCTCAGCAGCAACAGCAGGGACGATACACCTGCAAGAGGACCCTCAGCTCTGAGGGAACGCCGCCGCCCGCCCACCTTTTTATACTGCCACGAGGGCGGGCTCACTGCGAAAGAGGGGGGGCGCGGGGCAACAGCGCTGTTAAAGGAACCCAATTCCCAACACTTAACCCTTTGGCTTTTCAGAATGGTTCGTTCTGCTACCCTCCCTCGACTCTTTTAGTTTAATACAAAAGGGTTAGAGAACAGAGGGGAGAACACTGCCTTTTGGAGTTGCCCCCCTCCCCCCTCTTCGGGGGTTTAGTACAACCCTCAAGTCGGCTGATCTTCGGGATGGAAGTTACCAACGCAAGCCGACGCGGGGCTTTTGCTCGGTTCGGGCAAAGGGGAAAGGCGAAGCGGGCATCGCCCGAGACACACGGTTCGCAGTCGACGCGAAGAAAGCTACTGCCATGCATTATTGATCCTTCAGCAAGGAGGGAAAGCGCTGCTGGGATGGGCAAGCGAGGCAATGTTCTGCAATATGAATATCTCTTCATCTTGCAAGAGTACAACGCCTACAGCATCCCTTTCGCACACATAAGGCCTCTTCCACACAGCTGTATCAAATCCACATTGAACTGGATTATATGGCAGTGTAGAAGGGACCTTATTCTAAACTATAAAATGTGCATTAAATTGGAAGTGTTAACCTATATGTATATTATAGCTATGCCACCCACTTATAATAATAATTATCTATCTATCTATAAATGCTCTGTGCATAATGAGTACCTTAAAAACAAAAGAACCAATGAATGAAATCACACCAAACTTGGCAACAAAACGTCTCACAACACAAGGAGTGACCATCACTCAAAAAATTATGATTTTGTCATTTGGAAGTTGTAGTTGCTGGGATTTATAGTTCACCTTCAATCAAAGAGCATTCTGAACTCTATCAATGATGGAATTGAACCAATCTTGGGACACATGACTCCCATGACCAACAGAAAACACTGGAAGGGTTTGGTGGGCATTGACCTTGAGTTTGGGAGTTGTAGTTCACCTACATCCAGAGAGCACTGTGGACTCAAACAATGATGGATCTGGACCAAACTCGGCACAAATACTCAATATGCCCAAACACCTATGGAGTTTGGGGAAAATAGATCTTGACATTTGGGAGTTGTAGTTGCTGGGATTTATAGTTCACCTACAATCAAAGAGCATTCTGAACCCCACCAAGGAGTAGAATTGGGTCAAATATCCCACACAGAACCCCCATGACCAACAGAAAATACTATGTTTTCTGGTGATCTTTTGCGACCCTTTTGATACCCCCCATGGCCCCCTCAGGGGTCCCACCCCAGGTTGAGAAATGCTGCCTTAAGGCCATCCAGTTCAACTCCCTTCACCAGGGGAAGAAAACATAATCAAAGCCCTCCTGACAAAGAGCCATCCAGCCATAGATATAGATAGATATATATGATTCACACACACACACACATGTATAGGATATAGTATCATAGACTGGAAAGGGATCCCTAAAGAAGGACAATGATATGTTGCATATTCCAGAGTAGGCAAACCAGACACTCTCCACATCAACACTGACAAAGAAACAACAGGAAATACTGTTTACCCACAAGCATCAAGACATTACATATATTAGAAATCAACATTTTCTCATTACTTTATTTTCTTGATCACTAGACTGGGCCACAGCAACGTGTGGCAGGGGACGGCTAATACTACTACTACTAATAATAATAATAATAATTACAATAATAATAACAATAATAATAATAATAATAATAATAATAATAATAATAATAATGGCACAAGCCAGTAAAGGTGGTCCCAGTGGTTATTACCACACTGGGTGCAGTGTCTAAAGACCTTGGCCTGTACTTAAACACAATCAGCGCTCTCAAAATTACCATCTGCCAGCTGCAGAAGGCCACCTTATTAGGATCTGCACACATTATTTGCCGATACATCACACGGTCCTAGACACTTGGGAAGTGTCTGACGTGTGATCTAATTCAACAGCCAGCAGAGTGTCTGCTGTGGACTCATCTTGTTGTGTTTCAAATCATCATCATCATCATCATCATCACAGGTTTTATTGCCATCCTCCAACAACTCAAGCCCCATCCACCCAAGCCATTAAAAGCCTTTGTGTATTATGTAAACATCAAGTAAATTTCTCTCTGTGTATAGAGAGAGTGCCTTGGACCGCGAGAAGATCCAACCAGTCCATACTTCAGGAAATAAAGCCCGACTGCTTTGGAGGGAAGGATAGTAGAGGCAAAGATGAAGTACTATGGTCACATCATGAGAAGACAGGAAAACTTAGAGAAGACAATGATGCTGGGGAAAAAGGAAGGAAAAAGGAAGAGGGGCCGACCAAGGGCAAGATGGATGGATGGCATCCTTGAAGTGACTGGCTTGACTCTGAAGGAACTGGGGGAAGGTGACGGCCAACAGGGAGCTCTGGCGTGGGAAGGTCCATGAGGTCACGAAGAATCAGAAGCGACTGAACGAATGAACAACAACAAGTGGAGTACCTTGCATTTGTCCCTGTTGTAATGCAGTGAACTGATCTCTTATTCGAAAAGTCATTGATATTTATAAACAAATGCTTTTTTGTAAATTATGTTTCTGCAACCTGGAATTTTAAGACCTAATTGAAGACCCATCTCCTCTGGCAGGTCTATCTTTCAATCATAAATTTTGATTTACATTCTATTGCTGCTATGAGGAGAGAGAAGAAAAGAAAAAGAAGGGAAGAGAAAGGAAGGAAAGAAGAGAGAGGAAGGTGTATGAGGGGAAATATTAGAGATTTATAAACAATGTCAAATATAGTCATTATTCATTAAAAACAGCCTTGGAATACATCACCTGCTTACTTACTTAGGCAATTCCTCGTTGGCCAAGTAGAATAGTCTTCCAAGATCAGTATTCTTGTGGGTCTGTAGGTGACTGTGGAGCCCTATTCTTGATCTGCATCTTCTCCCGCAGTGAGGGCATTGGTTTCCAGGTGGAAGGCGGTCTCAGTTGGGGTTGGCTTGACGCGCCTTCCTCTTGGCACGTTTCTCTCTTTCACACTCCATTCATGCCTTTTCAAATTCTGCAGCACTGCTGGTCACAGCTGACCTCCAGCTGGAGCGGTCAAGGGCCAGGGCTTCCCAGTTCTCAGTGTCTATGCCAGAGTTTTGAAGGTTGACTTTGAGCCCATTTCTTTTCCTGTCCACCAACATTCCGTTTTCCGTTCTTGAGTTTGGAGTAGAGCAACTGCTTTGGGAGACGGTGATCGGGCATCCGGACAACGTGGCCGGTCCAGCAAAGTTGATGGCGGAGGACCATTGCTTCAATGCTGGTGGTCTTTGCTTCTTCCAGCATGCTGACATTTGTCCGCTTGTCTTCCCAAGAGATTTGTAAGATTTTTCCAGAGGCAGCGCTGATGGAATCGTTCCAGGACTTGCATGTGACGTCTGTAGATAGTCCATGTCTCGCAGGTGTATAGCAGGGTTGGGAGGACAATAGCTTTATAAACAAGCACCTTGGTATCCCTATGGATGTCCCGGTCCTCAAACACTCTCTGCTTCATTCGGAAAAATGCTGGATCGCAGAGCTCAGACAGTGTTGTATTTCGGTGTTGATGTTGACTTTGGTGGAGATGTGGCTGCCAAGGTAGCAGAAATGGTCAACATTTTCTAATGTTACACCATTAAGCTGTATCTCTGGCATTGGAGAGGGGTTGGCTGGTGACTGCTGGAAGAGCACTTTGGTTTTCTCGATGTTCAATGACAGGCCAAGCTTCTCGTATGCTTCTGCGAAGGTGTTTAGAGTGGCTTGTAGATCTTCTTCTGAATGCGCACAGACAATTGTCATCAGCATACTGGAGTTCTATAACAGATGTTGTTGTAACCTTGGTTTTGGCTTTCAGTCTGCTGAGGTTAAATAGCTTGCCATCTGTCTGAGAGATGATTTCCACTCCGGTGGGAAGCTTCCCATCAACAAGGTGAAGTATCATAGCGATGAAGATGGAGAATAAAGGTGTCAAACACATCCCTGTTTGACACCTGTTTCCACCTTAAATGATTCACCTAGAGATACACTGAGAAACATTTCAAATCATGGAAATGGCTATGTGCATAACATCTGATCCCTCAGTTGCTGGGATACAAATAGAAAAAGAGATGGTGTCAGAACAACATGACATAGATATGTTTTCATCTAAATTAAAGAAACCATAAAAAAAAAACAATTCTGAAGAAAAGTTCAAAATATAAAACATTCATATCACTATAACCTTTATGTACTGTTTGTTTGTTTATTAATTGCGAAGAAAAAATTGTCTTAAAAATCTTTATTAAGCTTTTCATAAATTAAATAATAACAAAAGAATCAAAAACATACCATACATCAACTTTATTCCCCCTTTTCCATAGCATTGAGCCACAGTAGTTAACGTGTCACACTGCATTAATTCTATAGTGCAATATACTGCCTGGATGGCGATTATTGAACTTTAGTAAACCTTAATTCTAATGAGTAGCTTGAACTAGTGCAGGGCAGGCAAATGCAGTCTTTCAGATGGTGTTAGATTGCAACTCCTAGCACTCTTCGCCATTCACAATGGCGGCCAAGGCTAATGTGTATTGCAGTCCAGCATTTGTAGGGCTGCGCTTTCGGAACTCTAACTTATATATTCTTCCATCCCAGAAAAGGGTGAGTGAGCATGGACATAAATATTGCACTAGGGCAGTGTTTCTCAACCTGGGGGTCGGGACCCCTGGAAGGGTCGCAAGGGGGTGTCAGAGGGGTCGCCAAAAACCATCAGAAAACACAATATTTTCTGTTGGTCATGGGAGTTCTGTGTGGGAAGTTTGGCCCAATTCTATCGTTGGTGGGGTTCTGAATGCCCTCTGATTGTAGGTGAAATATAAATCTCAACTACAACTCCCAAATGTCAAGGTCTATTTTCCCCAAACCCCACCAGTGTTCACATTTGGGAACATTGAGTATCTGTGCCAAGTTTTGTCCAGATCCATCCTTGTTTGAGTCCACAGTGCTCTCTGGATGTAA